TTCAGCATCTTTCACAAACACGCATGTGTGACTGCCTCCATTTGCTGGAAGGAACTTTAGAGAATTGGTTTAGTTTCTTTGTTATTTTGTAGAAATCACCAGTGAAGCCATCTGAGTTCGGCACTTACTCTAGGAAGGTTATTAGTTATTCATCCAGTTTCACTCCCAGCCAGGATTGGGAGTGGTGCCCCCCCCTACACACACACACACACACACACACACACACACACACACACACGGCACCCTCATGCCTGCGCTGTGGTCTCTGGTCAGCCTGTGAGAGCCTCCAGCTCTGCGGTTGTGTCAGTGGTTCTACCTTTGGTTTTGTTCGCTTCCTCAGCTGAATTCCTCTTCTCAGTTTTTTAAATGTTTGTTCTAACTGTTAGGCTTTCTTTTCTCCTGCCTACTGTAGGCTGAGTGATTGATTTTAGATCTCTCTTCTGTCCTACAATGTAAATTCGATGCTATAAATTTCCCTCTCAAGTCCTGCTTTGGCTGCATCTCACAAAGTTTGGTAAGTTCCATTTCCCATTTTTATTTTGTGAAAAGCACTGAATTTCTCACCTGTGACCCATGTGTTATTTAGAAGTGGTGCCTGATCTGCAACTATTCCGACCTCCAGCTCTCTCTCTCTCTCTCTCACTGACCCCCAGGGTGGCACCAGTGCACCCTGAGAGCTCGTTCCAGACAGTCTGTCCTTTTTGGCGTGTTTGGCGGGCCGACCACCCAGAGCACGGGCAGCCTGGGCGAGGGCCCCCAGGAGCCCTCGCAGGGTGCTGACCCCTGCGGTTGGGTGCAGGGTGTATTGGTGTCCACAGGACCAGTTGGCAAGGGGCGCACTCGGTTCTGCACCATCCTCTCCTACTGTTGCCTGCCACACCGTCCCCTCGCTGAAGGGGCTGCACTTGTCTGCGCGTGCTTGAGTACGTCTGCTTCTCCTCGCAGCACCGGTGGGTTTGCCCCGGGTGCTCTGACCCTCTGTCATCAGGGGCAGGTGTGTCACTATCGCTGTGTCTTCCTGGGAGTGGCGGCACCCTCCATCGTCACATCGGGTCCTTCTCTACTCCTGGCCACCATCTCACCCTGGAGCCTGAGGGGGTGACGTGGCCCAGCTTTCTCTGATCGAAGTTAGTGTGGACAGCTTCCTGGGGTCTTTGAATTGTGGAGTCTGTTTTTGTTTTTAAAGTGGGTTACATGCCCTGGCTGGCGTAGCTCAGTGGATTGAGCACAGGCTGTGGACCAAGGGGTAGCCAATTCGATTCCCGGTCAGGGCACATGTCTGGGTTGTGGACCAGGTCCCCAGTAGGGGACGCAGGAGAGGCAACTGAAGCAATTGCATATTGATATTTCTCTCCTTCTTTTCCTCTCTCTCTAAAAATGAATAAATAAAATCTTTAAAAAAAATAAAATAAAGTGGGTTATGTGCGGACAACACATAAACCTTGGTTTTTAAAATTCACTTTGATAGTCTCTTTTAACAGGTATTTTGGGTTGTTTGGTACCTGTGACGTCTCTCGTGCTTCTCTTTTGGGGCCGCACATGTGTGGGGTGTGGGTGTCTCTGTGCTTCACGTTCTCCGTGACGCTCCCTCGTGTACCTGGTAGGTGTTGAACTCCAGTGCTGGGTGACCTGGGCTGGCGCCTCTAGAGTCTGCGTGGAATGGGCGTGCCAGGTCGCTCTGCAGGTTCAGGGTCAGCCGCCCTTCAGCGTCCTCGCCTCACTCTCCCTCCCCACCCGCCCGCGAGGGGCCCCCTGTGCCGCACACCACATGGTGCTGAGACACGCGTGCTCGGTCTTCACTCACGCTTCTCGCGTCCCCGCCTTCCACTTGCCCTGAGAGTGCCTGGGTGTGTCCCCCTGACACACCCTTCCACAACGTGCAGCATGTGGTGGTCCCTGGGAGTGTCACCAGTGTGGCATGTCCCCTTGGCCTCCATTCCATAGTCCCCTATTGGGGCTCGGCAGCCCCAAAGAGCCTCTGGTCCCATCAGCCAGACCTCCTGCGGGCTGCAGCCCTGGCCAGGTTTGCTGGTACTTCCAGTGCCCACAGAAGGAGGGGCCCCGACGGAGGTGACCCAGGGACCTTCCCCAGATGGTAGTTGGTTCCCTCCCACTCCCCATCGAGTGAAGGCCGTGGACTGTGGCTCCAAGGCCGGGCAGGAGGAGCCTGGGAGGAGGGGCCACAGAGGAGGCTGCCAAGGAGCCTTTGGGGAGGCCTTCCAGACCTCTGGGCTCAGACCCGGGTGGGTGGCAGGAGCATGAACCAGGTTGGCAGCTCTGGCTGTGGAAGCAGGAGGTGGGCGGCAGGAGAGCGAGGACATCCTGGGAGAACCGTGGGGGGATCGGCATCGTGGAGGGACAGACAGGAGGCAGTGGCCTTTGCTGTTTTCCAGGACAGGGCTTGCTGGTCACTCACAGCAAGAGGCAGGGGGCGGGGAGAGCCTGGTTTGTTACCAGCCTTCTCTCCCTGCCACAACTCTTGGGGCCTGCCCACCCTGGGCCTGGGGACCTTGGGGGGCCATGGTGCCCTCCCCTTCTGCTTGTGGCTGCTATCACGTGTTTGGGGATAGTCACCGCCTGCCCATCCAGGCTGCCGGGGTCAGGCCTGGCTGCAGGATGTTGCCGCCCACTGGTCATTGGTGTTCCCTCCCTGTCCTCCCCGTGGGGCATCAGACAAGCGACTTTGTACCTTGGCGCCTGTTTCTTTTCCGGGAAACTGTGGCCTGGACCTGAACTTAATTCTTACCCCTCTTTACATGAGTTTCTCCTCCCCCCTTCTCAGCACCCCGAAGCTCTTCACACCCCTGGTTTCCTAAAAGAAAAAGGTGTTGGTTTCCCAAAACTGCCTTCATCTCTGCCATCCTCGGGTTTGGGTTCCCAGTGGACAGAGCTTCCAGGAGACCTCGCCTCACCCTTGGCACTGACCTCCAGGGTATAAGGCAGACAAGGAGGGGGCAGGAAGCCTGTGACTGCAGTCTGGCCTTGAGCTATGTGTCTGGTTGCCCTTGTTGGCCAGCCCAGAGGTGCTGCAAGGCTGAACCCTCGGCCACCCGTGCCAACGGGGCGTGGGTCCACAGGTTGGGTGCGGACCCACTGCCACCCAGCTGCCTGCCTGGCCCCTGGCAGAGTGGGGTCTCAGCCACCACCCTTGCTCCTCTGGATGAGGAGCCTGTGTGGGCGGGAGTGGGTGAGGGCGCCCCCCTTCCCACCCTCATTCACTTCCACGATCACTCAGTCGCTGTGAGTTACACGAGGAGGAGACGCAGCAGCTCCCCAGCGGGCCTGTGGCCCCTGGAGCTGCACTCGGGGAAGTGCGTCCCGGTGGGGGTTTCCCTGGGCACATCAGCGCTTCGGAAGCAGCCTGGGCACCTGGTCGCTCAGCGATTGGCTGCTATGCTTGCTCCGGGGGAAAGGAGGCAAACTTTCCCACAAGTGGAACCAGTTGTTGCAAAGTCATGATCCAGTCAGAGCAGCACAACTCAGTGACAAAGCAGCTTCTCTGGAAGGTGCAAACGGCAAACTTTCAGTTTCACGTTTTCCTCTCTGCCGGCCACAGCCGGCCTGCAGATGCAATGGGAGAGCAGCAAGGAGGCAGGTGGGGATTTATGGTCAACAAAGGCACCGGCTGCGGCCTGTTTATAAAAGGAAACCCCTCCCCGGCCCTCTCGTGGTAACTCGGTAACCAGCTCGAAACCATAAAAGTCACTGGGATGATAGAGGGTTTCAATAAAATTATGACACTCAATAAACCTTCCCGTGGAAAGAAATTTTCCATGGATATGTGACCGGTTCCACTTGGATTTGTAACTTTAATTTCTCACTTATTGAATTTTTTGTCATCAACTAATTACAAAGTCCGAGCCCGGTGACGCTGAGTCACGGGCCCGAGAGGGAGGATGCACGGCAGCCGCTGGCAGCAGGCAGGTGGGCGCCAGGCTCTGGGGGAGGACACAGGGTCTGTGGGCCCCACACCTTGCTCCTGCCCCACCTGGGGAGGAAGGGCTGGGTGCTGGTGGGGCAGCACCTCCCTGCAGAGCAGTGGAGTGGTCGATGGGTCCCTGGGGCTTGGGGAGGGCACCGACTGAGAGACCACCGAATTGAAGGGGGACTTGGCCCCACATCTTGGGGGTGGAGGCGGTGCGGGGGCTCGCCCCCAGGGTCTGTGAGTGTGCCTGTGAGCCAGTGCTTGGGCTGTCTGTCCCTATATCCCACCTCGCCCCCTGCTTCCCTGGGGGCTGAGCCAGCCTCTCCCAGCAGTTGCTCCCCTGCAAAACTCAGCTGCGGCAGGGGGTGCACCCATCAGTGTGGATGAGACGGCCCTGCAGTCAGCCGATCATGGTGGGCTTCCTCCGAGGGCAGCGCTCCGCCGCATCACTGTGGTGGCGTGGACTGTATAGCTGTCCTCAGAAACGAGTGAATGACCCACCGAGACAGGGAGCTGAGGCTCGGGATGGGCACCAGCCCAGCAGGCCTCCGAGACACTCACCTGGGCTGTGCTGTCTCTGGGCGGAGACTGGGGCAGCCCAGACCTCGGCCCGTGGGAGGCATGTGTGCGTGAGCTCCATGGGAGTAGCAGGGGCTCATGGGGCCCGAGACCCTGCAGAGAGCTCAGCAGATGGACAGAGCTGTTGCATTCTTGGTCCATCTGGACACCTGCTGCCTCTCTGCTCAAGTGGCTCTCTCCTTCCTGGGAACCTGTCTCTGATGTTACTGGGTCAAGGTCAGGGGTCACAGTAGGCAAGGTGCTCCAACCCCATCCTAGCCTGGCCCCACTGGTGATTTCCTGGGCTGTTTCTTGAGGCTCAGGGAGTCATAGTATCCCAGAACACTGGCTGTGCCCAGGTAGAGACGTGCTGCCTGGTGGCAGAGCTGAAGTGGCCCCTTCCGAGCAGAGGAGGAGCTGTGTGGGCCCCACTCGGCATCTTCCAGCACCCTGTCCCTGCAGCGTCACGCCCCCCCTTCCCCTCTGGGCCTGACCACCTTGTCCCCTGTGCCCACAGGAGCGGGATGGGATGCGTGCCATCCTGGGATCCTACGACAGTGAGCTGGCACCAGCCGAGCACTCACCCCAGCTGACCCGGCGCATGCGTGAGGCTGAGGACATGGTGCAGAAGGTACACGCCCACAGCTCAGAGATGGAGGTGAGTGTGCGGCGTGGGGGCCGCCCCCAAGGGCCAAGCCAGGACTGCCTGAGCGGGTCTGCCTGGGCTCCCGTGCATCTCGGCCGCTTCTCGGCAGCCCGCTGGCCTCCCTGGGGAGTGTCAGCAAACGGAAGACCCCCCCAGCCGTCCATGCCCTCACACATGGCAGCTTCTCCTGTCCGCCTGCCATGCGCCCTCACCTGCCAGGGCCACGTGTTCCAGTGATCTGGTCATGAGGGGCCAACAGTGTCCTCAGCTCATTGTCCAGTTGGTCACCCTGTCTTCCACCTGGCCACCGCCCTGAGGCTGACAGCTGGGGCCCAGCGCTCCCTCGGAAGGGTCTGAGGCAGCTCACAAACTCAGAGACAGCTGTCAGACGGGCCCTGCCGCCCCCCTCTGTCAGCGCTCCTCCAGTCACTGGCACGGGGCCTGGTCCCGGTGTCAGAGCAGGTCCCCGACTTCCATGTCAGCAGTGCAGCAGGCAGTCACCTAGCCTTCCCTTCCGCCTCCTGGAGTGGTGGGAGAATCTGGGGAGGTGGAGAACTCCCCTGGCCCTGCCGGCCTCCCCCCAGGCCGCGTGTCCCTTTCTGCCATGGTCGTGGCTGTGGGAGCTCACACACTGTCCCCACTGGGGCTCTGGTCACTCCCACCTCCTCCTGATGGGCCCTTTGCTGGTCTCCTCTCTCTATCCAGCCCCCCAGCCCCCAGGTCTCTGTGGTGGTGGAGACCCTGCCCACCACTCCTGATCCCCAGCATCCTCCATCTCTGAGGCTGGGGTACCCCGGAATCCAGCCTCAGTGCTCGGGGCGCTGGCTCTGTGCCCACCACAACTTCAGGAACAGAGGCCCTGGCCCCCCCAGTGAGGCCGTTCGTGGCCGGGGGACGGGGCCATAGCACTCCGAGGTCTGTGGATGTGGCAGGGGGTCTCTGGCCTTCTGGCCATTACCCATACTCCGTCTGAACACCTGCTATGCTGCACAGTGGGCCCTTCAGCGTCCACAAGGGCCCTACCCAGGCCTGAGCTGCAGCCCGAGGGGAGGACCAGAGCATTTGTAGGTGGCAGCCGGACATTCCTGGTCCAGGCCAGCTGATTTGTCTCCTGGCCTGTTTGGATTCTCAGCACACTGGTGAAGAGGGGCTGGCTGCCTCAGGTTTTGGAAATAGGCATCCCCTCCCCCTTTGGAGGTGGTGGCTCCATTCATTGCTCCAGGGCAGGCCTGGACCTCTCTCTGGCTGCCCTTCCTGCTCAGCCCAGAGGCCTGGGCTGCTCCTGCTGAGAGCTGTAAGCCTCCCAGCCTCCACTAGGTGGCAGTGGACAGAGCCTGCTAATGCTGCTCTCCAGCCAGGGTGGGATGGGGCTGTACCACGGGCGGCCCGGACAGGACGGGGCAGAGCCTGCTGGGGCTTTCTCCTCAGCCTGGGTTCTTCTTGCTCTCATAACACCCTCTGGCCTGCGCTCCAACAGTCTCTTGGAACCTCTGCTGGGAGAAGGGTGTCATCCTCCCTTCCCCTCTCCCTGGCATCTCTCGTGGGGGTGGGGCCCCGGGTAGGGGTGAGAAGGAGGGTCCTGGGTGGGCAGGGTCCCCAGCACTCCTGCTACAGCCAGGACCCCCAAGCCCAGTTCTGTGCTGGGTGCTGGAGTGGAGGGGCCACTGGCGTCAGGACTGCCTGTAGGGTTAGGGCCAAGGGTTGGCATGGGGGTGGGCCCCAGGTGTCTGCACACAGGGGCACACAGTGCAGGGGTGGAGCCTCTGCAGGGGAGGTCTGCATAGCGTGGAGGCGCAGGGGCTGCAGGAAGTGCTCACCTGTGCCTCTGCAATGCAGGTGTCTGCTCTGAGCGCGGTGGTCAGTCTCATGCAGGCACTGCATGGTGAGAAGCCCTCAAGGGGAAAGGCGAGCTTCTGTCTCACCCAGCACCCGCCGCCCACAGTGGCCCCCCAGGAAAGGCATGCTTGCTCCCATGAGGCCCTAGGGCCTCGCTGAGGCGACCTTGGACCCGCAGCTCCCTGGACTTGGCCTGCTCAAGGGCAGGGACTTCTGTCTCTCTGAGTAGCTGCAGAGTCTGAGGCCAGTCCTTCCAACTTGGCCAGGCACAGGCCTGCTGTTCATACATGCTCATACAAGCCCACCTCTGGAGAGCAGTTCTCTCAGCTGGCGCTGGGCATGGGGCTCTGCCCCAGGAACAGCCCCGAGCCTTCCTCCCCAGGCCCTGGATGCTGCTCCATCACCAGGCCTCAGCTGTGCCTTCCTGCTTCCAGGGACGGGAGCAGGCTGGGAGGTGCACCATCTCTGTCCTCATCCTCTGGGTCACAGTGGCCACATGCTGGACCCCAGACCCTGCAGGCTGCAGGGCAGGTACCCTCCAGGCTGTGGGGAAGGGGTTCCTCTTTCTGTTCTGTTAAGCAGAACGTTGGTGTGTCAGAACTGCTGCACTCTGCCCACGCCTGCAAGCTTGCAGGGCTGCTCAGGTCATCAGTTGAGCCCCGCATATTGACACAGAGTAGAAATCACGTAACTTTATAGACTCATTTGTTAGAGGTCTGTAGTGCCTTCCAGGTAGCTCATTCGTCACTCGGCCCAAACAAAAGCAAGCACCTGGTACGTGTTGCAAGGAGTGAGCGAGAAGCTGGGTGTCCCTGCAGCAGGAGCACGGGGCACGTGCAGGGAGACTGTCCGCAGCCCGCTGCCTGGTCACCCAGCCGGATCAGCCGGCCCCCACCGCCCCACCCCCGACTCCCTGCCTAGAAGGCAGGGTCCAGGGCATCGGAAGGAGGGGTCGCTGGACATGGGGACCCTGACCTCTGCCTCTCCCACCTCCACCTGTGTCTTTTCTCCTTCATTTCTAGTCTTCTCTGTCCTTCCTCACTTTCTCTCTGTTTTCTCATGTCTGTCTTTGGCTTTCCCCTGTCTCCTCGGTTCTCCCTCAGAGAACCGAGGTCCTCTGAGAGAACAGGGGTCCTCTGCCCCTCTCTCTGTGGCCTCTCTGCATCTGTTCCGCAGCCCCGGCTCCTGTTCTCTCTCTGGTCAGCAGGCATCAGCTGTGAGGGCCCGGCTCACACGCAGTGGGCACAGCTTTATGTCGGTTTTAAAACTTTATTGGAAAAGCAGGTCAGGGGCTGAATTCAGTGCAGGCTGTGGATAGCAGACCCCTGCTTTAGCTCCTCTCTTCATAGGACCCTGCTGCTTGTAGTGAGCCACCACGACAGCCCGGGCCTGGCCCCACCGCTGCAGGGCCCTGCCTGTCCCCTGGCGAGGAAGGACGGAGCCACAGGGTTGGCCTGGGGAGTTTGCTCTCGCATCTAGCTTTTCCAGGCGGCACAGCTCACTGGCTTAGCCTAATCAGTCAGTTCTAATGTGGAACATGTCTCGACTCCAGCAAAAACATTTCAATAAAACGAAGTGGTTGTGTCGAGCTTGGGAGAATCCCCGTGGCCCATCTCCGGTGAAGCCGGTGCCACTCTGCACAGATTTTATTTATTCCACTTAATAAAGTGGCTGCAGCAGGCGGCAGCATGTGTCCCGAGTCCTTCTCTGCTGACAGGACCATAAATATGCAGCACATGGCACCTCGATCCAGCGTCTCAGCCCGAGTGGTTTTTCCCGTTTATTTAATTAGAGCAGATTAGGGGCTGCTGGCCGTGTGCAGGCCGTGGAAAAGTCCCACTCTCAGACTGCAGCTCCCCAGCAGCTTAGAGAAGGACAGGCCCCCGGCCCCGCCCGCCCACGTGTCCACCCTCGAGTCCTTGGGGCTCACCAGCCTGGGTGTGTTTCTTGTGAAACCGTCACCCTCGTACCTGAGGGGATGCTCAGCAAGCAGCCTGGGTGGAGTGGAGTGGACAGTCCAGGCCCGAGTTAGCATGGGGCCCTGCCTTTGGGAGTGGACAGGAGAGTGGCCCAGGGCTCTGGGGGTGCTGTGTGTGGGCACACAGTGTGACTGGCTCTGGGACGGCAGGGGCAGGGGGTGACGCAGAGACGCCTGGCCACAGAAAGCAGTGGTCGCCACCTGCGAGGTGTCCTGTTGTACCAGTGCCTGCCTGCCCTTCATCTGGTTCTCACCACGTCACCAAGGGGCAAGCTGTGCTGTGGTCTAGCCAGCAGGGTGGCTGAGGCCAGCAGCATCCCGGAGCGTGACCAACGAGTGTCGGCTGTGTGCATGCGAGGGCTGCAGCGGGCTGCTCTCACTGCACACGCAGGGGGGAGCGGTGAGCACACCACCATCACTGTGCTGCACGCCGGCTCCCTTTTCTTACGAGGACGTGGAAGAGCTGCTTTCCCACCAGATCTGAGGGTAACAGTCACAATGGCTGTCATCATCGCGCTGCCCCTCAGGTCTCCGCCCTCCTTCCCTGCCACCCTGCCCCCACCCGGGGCAGTGCCCATTCCACACTGTGGCGAGTTCCGCTGTTGCAGATTTCCGGAGTCATGTGCCGTGTTGTTCTTTCTGTGTCAGGCAAACTTTGTGTAGCGCGACGTCCTCCGGGTCCATCCGTGCTGTTGCAAATGGCAGCCTCTCCTTTTCAAGGTTCAGTAATGTCCCCCTACATGCGTGTCGCATTGTCTGACCTTCCACATGGCGGCCACTGCGAGTGCTGCTCCCGGAGCACGACAGTGCAGGTATTTCCTTGCGGTGCTGGCTTTACTCCCTTTGGACATATTCCCAGAAGGGGGTCGCCGGGGCTCATCGCTCTGATTCTCGTCTTCAGTGGCCCCTCCAGACTGTCTCCCACAGTGGCTGCGCCCATCCCCACCTCCACCAGCAGCACCCAGCACGGACTCAGCAGCATGGGTGACCTGCCGCGCTCCTCCTGACAGCCCGAGTAGCGGTGCGGCGAGACCTTGCTGTGGCCCGGGTTCAAGTCCCTGCCAACCAGGGACTCGGTGTGCTGTTGGTGCGCCTGGCCACACGAAGTGCCTTTGGTCTTGTTGGCGGTTTCCTCTGCTGCGCGGGAGCTCTGGTTTGATGCGGTCCCAGTTGCTTCCCTTTGCTCTGTGGCCTGTGCGCTTTTGGTGTCGTGTCCGAAGGATCCTCACCAAGATGAGTGTCAGGGAGCCTTGTCCCTCTTCCCGTCTGAGACTGTTCTGGTCTCTCTGTTGAGCCTGTTTTGAGTTGGTTTTCGTGCAGTGAGAGAGAGGGGTCCGGTTTCGCTCTCTCGGGGTCGCCCAGTTTTCCCAGCACCGCTTGTGGGAGAGGCTGTCCTGTCCTCGTCGTGCCCCCTTGCACCTTCCTCAGGGCGACGTGACTGTGTGGGGGTCGGTTTCTGGGCTCTCCGTGCCACCCCACTGCTCCCTGCGTCTGCCCCTCCATCAGGACCGCCCTGTTCTGATCATGGTGTCTTTGTAGAATGGAAAGTAGGAAGTGCGATGCTTCCAGCTTTGTTCTTCCTTCAGAAGTTACTCTGGGTTTTTGAGGTCTTTTCTGGATCTGTAAGAATTTAGGGTTGTTTTTTCTGATTCAGTCAAGTTGCCATTGGAGTTTTGGTAGGAACCACGCTGCATCTGCAGTTCACTGTGGGTGACGTGAACACTTCAGCACCGGTGCCCTGCCAGCTCGTACACCAGGGTGTCTCCGGTGCTCCATGGCGCCGGCAGCTCCCAGTGGGCAGGCAGGCCTCTTACTGTCTTGGTTAAGCGTGTTTTTTAGTATTTTACTGTTTTTGATGCTGTTGTAAATGGGGTTGGCTTATTTCTTTCTCGGATAGTTTATTGTTAGTGTCTAGAAATGCCATCTATTTTGGATGTTGACTTCATATCCTGCAACTATACTGAACTGTTCTAACAGTTTTCTGGCAAGGTCTTGTTTTCTGTGTAGAAGATCCTGTCATCTGCAAACTGGTCATTTCACTTTTTCCTTTCCTGTTTGGATGCCTTTTATTTCTTTCTCTTGCCTGGTTCTGGCTGGGACTCCCAGTACTGTGGGTAGTAACCGTGGTGAGAGTGGCCATCTTTGTTTGGTTCCTGGTCTAAAAGAAAAGCTCTCAGCTACTTTCTCTTTCGCCCGCCCTGCCCCACTCGGGTGCATTCCCCTGCCTCTCTCCCCACTGAGCCCCAAGGGCCCTTCTTCTGCTCTGCACCACTTTTCCGGGGCCCCCTTCCTCTGCAACTCACTTCTTCTGCCTCCGCGACTCTGAGCACAGCATCTCTCACAGTCAGAGTCTGGGCTCTGTGCTCTCGCTCAGACAGAACTCATAAAGCAAAAGAAAGTTTTTCAGAAAGAAAAGATTCCGGTTTTCAGCAGTGAGTGTGATGTTAGCTGTGGGCATGTTACAGAGGGTCTTTATTATGTTAAAGAACATTTATTCGGTACCTAGTTATTTTTGATGGTGAAAGGACGTGCCCTTTCCAACATCTGTTGAAACGACCACCTGCTGTTTGCCCTGCGTGTGTCGATCTGCTGAGTCGTACTGACTGACCTGTGGGTGTTGGGCCCACCTGCATCCCTGGAGCAAAGCCCGCTTGGTATGGTGTGCAACTCCTGACTGTTGAATTAAGTTTGCTGATATTCTGTTGAGAGTCTTTGCACCTATGTTTATCAGGGATATTGGCTTCTAATTTTCTTTTCTCGCGGCATCCTTGTGTTCCCTCCTTTTTGACGTTTGGAAGAGTTTAAGAAGGATTGGTATTCGTTCTTCTGTAAACGTTTGGTAGAATTCACCAGTGAGGCCGTCTGGTCCTCGGCCTTTCTTTATTGGGAGATTTTTCTTTTTCATTACTGATTCAATCCCCTTACCAGTTCACATTTCCTGCTCCATCCTGATTCATCCTCGATGGATTGCATGTTTGTAGGAGTGTGTCCACTTGTTTAAGGTCACTTGGGTGTGCAGTTGTTCATAATGGTCTCCTGTGTCTTTGTGTTCCTGTGTGTCCAGTGCAGCATCTCCTCTTCCACTCTGACTTTGCTCACTTGGGCCTTCTCTCCGCCTCCGTCAGTCTGGCTATAGATCTGTCCGTCTTGCTCATGGTTCCAGAGCCCAGCCCTCAGTTAGTTCTGTTAGTCTTTCCCAGCCTCGCTGTGGGTGCTGTCTGTGTCGGCAAGAGCACAGCCGCCCCGCCCTGGCCTTGTTGCTGGTCATGCTGCTGGGATGTGGGCTTGGGCTCAGTCTCTGGGCATCCTTCAGGGCTTGTGAAAACCAATGTCTGCTGGGTCCCTCCCCCAGAGGTGGCTCAGTGGGCGTTGTGGGCATGGGGCCTGGTGCCACTGCACCTGTGGTCCCCAGTGCAGCCAGCTGGGCTGCCGAGCGCAGCATGCTGAGTCCGCAACGGTCCAGGTCAGCACCACGGAGTGCCTGGCGCCGGCCTCTGGGTGTCTTGTGAGGCTCCGAGAGCTCCAGGTCTGGCAGAGGCTGCTGGGAGCACACCAGGCGGCTGCGGCCCCACAGCTTGCTTGATACAATGGTTTCCACTGTCCTGGGGAGAGCTTGTGGCCAGTTCCCTCTTGAGTTCAGTGAGCAGCCCCGGCCTGGAGAGGCTGAGGAGCTGTGAGGAGGTGCCACGTGTGGCCTGGGGCAGCCGTGCAAACCCCACCCGTGGCTTCCAGGCCAGGCAGGGCTGCGAGAGGGACCAGGGTCTGAGCCCAGCAGACCCCTCCTAGAGGTGCCTGTTGCATGGTGGCGACCGTGGGGGCTTAAGTTGCAGCTGACTCACAGGGGCCAGAGTGCACTGGCCTGAGCTCCCACCTTGGCCTGTGAGACGGGAAGCCTCCCTCACAGGCAGGAGGGAGCTTGGGGGCCTGGCTCGGCCCCGCTGCCGGCCAGGGAGGGAGTGTCCCTGTGTCTCTGCACCTGGTGGGCGGTGCGCAGGCCTCAGAGGTTCTGTGGGATGTTGGCCCCTCCTACTTCAGAACCAGAGTCGGCCATGGCCTTCCTGCCCCTTGTGGGACCTGACCCCTCCTCTCTGTCTCTACCCTTACCCACCCCCTCTGGGGCTGTCTGGTGGCATTTTTTAGAGTGGATCCTGCTAGCATTGTGTCCCCAGCTGTCCCTCAGTTCCCTTTCCTCCCCCAGGTGCCAGCTCCTGCTGCCTCACCCCCATCAGGCAGGGGGTGGCAGCAGTGAGGAGGTGCCCCTGACCCCACTGTCTGTCTTGTCCTGCAGGCTCAGCTGGCGCAGGCGCTGGAGGAGCTGGGGAGCCAGAAGCAGAGAGCGGACACGGTGAGTCCCTTAGATGTGCCCAGCTGGGTCCTGGGGCACAGGGCAGCGGGGTTTGGGGTGCCTTATGTGCTGTGTCCCCAGCAGCCGTGGTCCCTGAGAGGGCTCGGGGTTTGGGAGCTGAGTCCCGGCTCCCAGAGACAGACGTGCTGCCCTGCTGTCCCTGTTGTGAGGTGGGGCCAGGGACCCACCTCCTAGCCGAGGTCCCAGCCTGTCCCCAGTGCCCATGCTGTCACTGCGCTGCCCTGGCCCTGGGCGGGTTCTTCTGCAGCGTGTGCCCACCGAGACATCGAGTCCAGCCTGTGCATGGCTGCCATGGGGCCGCTCCTTCCCCACTGCACTGGCAGGAGGGCTCTCGGTCAGCTGTCTCCCGGACCACATCAGCCCTCTCTCTGCAGGTGGCTGCCCGAGAGCCCAATAGGGGCATGGCTGGTGCGGGCCGGCGCCTCCTCCCCACACGGGGACATGGCTTGGGGGCGTGTTTGCCCTGTGCAGGCTGTGAGCCCCTCCATGCTGCCCGTCTCTCAGCCTGTCTCTGAGGACAGGGAGGCCACCAGGAGTGCCCGCCATTGGTGTTAGGACAGGCCCTGGGGCTGTGTCGCGGGTCTGAGGCCCTGCTTTCGTGTCGTCCCTTCCTTAGCATCATGTCCCTGTCTTTCAGCAGGTGGCCATGATGTGTTCTTGAATTTACTTTATCTGTTGTGGGGTGTCCCGACGGCCTGTGGTGTGTCCTTGCTGTCACCTGCACTGTTGTGCCTCACTGGGAGGCAGGGCTGGGTGGGCCTGACATTGGCCCACAGGTGAGGTACCCTGGAGGAGCCCGAGCTGGCTGAGCTCAGAGCCCGAGGTGGGGTGGGGTGTGGCTGCAGGAGCACAAGGCTGAGGAGCCATCAGACTGGAGGCCAAGGGCGAGGAGAGGTGGGAGTGCCAGTCTGGGGGGAGGTGGGGTGTCAGAGACCCCGTGGGTGCTGGGCAGCGGGGCCTGAGTCCCCGGGGTCCAGGCCAGCAAAGCATTGGACACCTGAGCGTCCTGTGAGTGAGCATAGGTACCCAGAGGCAGAGACCCGCCAGGCTGCTCCCACATCTGGACACAGGCCTGGGCGCAGCAACCGGGAGTTAGGGGGCCCAGGAGGGCAGGGCCACCCCAGGAGACCCCGAGTCCCCTGCTGTAATGGGCTGTGAGAACAGCAGAGCTGCCTGTGGGCCTGATGACAGGGTTTCACCTGTGGTCCTGTGGAGGGGGTGGGGCAGTGAGACGGGACCCCAAGCCCTCATGTCCAGCAGGAGGCAGGCCAGTGGCATGGCGGCCCACCATGGGCCATGGGGCAGCCCAGGGGCATGCTGATGCTGGCTGGCATCCCACTCAGAGCTGTGGAGGCGGTGGGCCTGGCCCCTCCCCAGGTGGCTCTTGGCCCTGTCTGTGAACGCTGGCGACCCTGCTGCCTTCAGCTTGGTTTCGGATCCAGGCAACAGCCTCTCCTCAGACAGGCTTTAACCTCAGCCTTCGATGGCCCAGCCTCAGCCTGGTTCAAGGTGTTTCTTCCACATGTGGTCTCCTCCCCACTTAACGGGAAGATGCAACGTGGCGGCGCCTGGCGCACCTCTGTCCTCCCTAGGACGCTCCCTCGGCCATCTGCCGAGCCCCTCCCCACCCAGGAGGTGGAGGCCCGGCCAGGCAGTGCAGGGGTGAGGTCCGAAGTGACAGGTCTGTGCTCAGCTCCCCGGGGAGAGCATCCCACTGGAATGCATTCCATTTGGTTCGGGGGCAGGTTCTGCTCTGCCGTCACCCCTGGGCTGGAGGAAGAGAGCAGAGGGGCAACCACGGCCTGGAGCTCAGCAGGAGGCCAGGATTCAGCCCTGGTCGGGCTCCACAGCCGGCTGCCCGCCCATTCTGGTGACAGCCTTGCACCCACGTGCTCAGGTGCATGGTCCTAGGAAAGTGGAGCTCGGGTTCATCAGCTGCTGGCTCCACGCCTCTGTTTGGACCCCCAGGCACAGCCCATTCTCTGTCCTCCCCCAGCCTGCAGCCCCTGACCTACTGACTTCCAGCCCAGACTGAGCTCACTGTTCAGGCAAGGAGAGGAGAGAGAGAGATCGAAACATCTTTAACTAATTGCAGATGACAAGACCAGACAGTTTGACTTTCTGTTATTAATTAGCAAACCCATGCTAATTAAAAGCACACATACAACTCATGCTTCTTATTTAATGTGATCACTGTGACAGGTGAAGATGTCTGGGCCGCAGCTGTGCTGGGGCCGCACCTTACCCTAGTGGGACATGGCCCAAGGCAGTGGGGGAAATGGGGTTTTCATCGCAAATGCAAAGTTCTCTAATATTTTACGTACTTCAGGGAATGAGAGTAGAAGATGTATGTTCTGACTTAAGAGGAATCAAACCCCACAAAACTTGGTGTGATTAAGCCGACGTCTTCATTGAGTCCCTTTTTCTGTAACCATTCCTGCTGGCTTCCCCTCCTGGTTGCCCTGGGGGTGGTACACCCCCATCCCATGAGGGTCATCGGGGCTGTGGCTGGAGCTCGGGGAAGGGCCAGCAGGGCCTGGCACGGCCCTTCCTGCCACCCTTCTTTAGGGCGCAGGTGCGATCTCAGCTGCACATGCCGGGGCCTGCCTCGTGCTGCCCACAGACAAGGGCCTCACGGTCTGACAGCTGCCTAGCAGGCCTTCACAGACCTGGTGGTCCCCCGCCGTCCCAAGGGTGGGGCCCGGCCCCGGGTAAACATGCTCACTGCAAGTGGCTTGGCCGTGGGGCCCACAGAGGGTGTGTCTGCTGCCGGCCCCGTACTTCACAGGGTTTGTCCCCTGGTGCAGGGGCCCCGACAGGTGGTGCCACCTGCAGATCCTGGGCTCACTCCAGACCAGGGCTGGCTTCCGAGTGTCTGCACCAGAACCCCGAGCTCTGCCGCCTTTGCCAAGGCTCCCCGACTTGCTGTACCAGGCCCTGCCGAGGTGCTGCCTGCCTCCCAAAGACAGCTCCCGAGAGGCAGGTGGGCCAGGGGCTGAGGCCCACAGGCAGCCTCTGGGCTGCGTCCTGCTGTCGCTGCACACCTACCGCAGCCAGGCTGGCCTGCACCCAAGCAGAGGCTATGATGGGAGCCTCAGCGGGGCCCTTGGTGCAGGCACCTTCCCTGCGGTGTGCAGCCAGTGCCTGACGCTGTGCCCACCAGGAGGGCTGAGCCCAGATTGTGGGAGTGGAGCCCACTGTCAGTGGGCCGCCCGGCGCAGGGATAGCCTGCAGGCTGTTCACAGTACAGTCGAGGGTGGGCTCTGCAGCCAGTTCACCCACAGGCGCACAGACACGGCCCAGGGGTGGCTGTGAGCCCACGCTGCTGCTGAGAGCAGAGGCCCTGCTGGGCAGCCTGCCCGTCAGGGACACGGGCGTGTTTGGCCCTCCTCACCCTCGGAGTGAGCAGTCCATGTGCAGGTACCCAGTGAGAACCCAGAGCACGGAGGCCGAGAGGTGGGCCAGAGCTGCCCTGCTCTGGGCAGCGCTGTTTGCTGGAGGCCGGTGGCGTGGTGCTCCCTGTGTGGCATGTGGCCCCGCCTGGTTTACCCACAGGCGTGGATGCTCTCTGTCCCCACGCCCCCAGTGACATGAGTGCCATGGCCCTGTGCAGAGCCAAGGAGAATTACAGCACAGACACCTGTCCCTCGAGACTTGCAGGGCGAGTGCTGGGCTGACACCCAGCGGCCCAGCTCCTCACGCTGTTTCAGCGGCCACCAGGGCGAGGTGGGTTCCTTGGACCCAGCCCCCTGAGGCAGGACCCTTGTCCAGGCCTTGGGTGACCTGCTCCCTGACCATCCAGGGCGGCTGCCGGCCCCACAGCTCACTGGGCTCCAGGAGCGGCTTGGAAACAGCACAGTGTGGAGCCCTGGGGGCTGGGGTGCCCCGCGTGCGCCAGCTGCGGTCCTTTGCAGGGAGGCACATCACTTTACGGTGGGTCCTGGAACGGGGCTCCCTGCTCTAAGTCGCCCAGTGACGGTCTCTCAGAAGATGCCGTCCAGTTCGTCCCGTAACTCTTCAAAGCGACCCACGTGGGTTTCCTCAGCAAAGTGTGGGCCGGGCGGTTGTGGCTGTGGGTGAGTGCATCTCAGCTTCAGGTCCCCCTGTGCTGGCGACAGCCACACGGGGGCCCAGCTCTGAGCCACCATGCCGAGGGGACCCCCACAGCCCCCCGCCATGATCCAGCAATAATATATTTGATTAGTCAGGTACTCAGTAAAGGAAATTAACAGAAACTATCAGAAACAAAGTGTAGACATTAAGTAACCTTAAGGTATAAAAACCACTAGCACACAAAAATGCAAACAAGACAAAAAGACCAGAATGAAACGATTACGAAAGTTACGAGATAGAAGATGTAACGAAATAGTGGGACAGAAGTAAACACAAACACAGGACAAGGTCCCAGTGGCCGGACCCCAGTATCAGAAGGAAAGGGCTTTCCGATCGGACCTCAGGGAAGAACCAGGGAGCGTTGGGGAGCTGGGGCCTCGTGGAGTGCCTAGAGCTTGCACTTCAGCCCGGAGTGTTGCAAAAGACCAAGCTGGGCCGTCTTCCATAATGAAGGTGCTGCTGAGAGGCTGCCCACAGAGATATCAACCGCGACCACAGAACAGAAATGAGAGACTCTCTGGGGACTCGTGAGGGGCCTCAGCAGTCGGAGAACTTATTGTACTTCTTAATCCATGACAGAGCAGGTGGGCAGTCTTTGTATATTTTACATATATGCATAGGTATGTAAAGTAAAAGTTAACCCCAGAACTGAACACTTTGAAAAATTACAGAAAACATTCACACAAAAAATCAATCACGTATTAGGTAATAAAGAAAACCTTCATAAATTCATATAGGCAGAACTAATATAGACAGCTTTCTCCGATCATGATGTGATGAAATATGAAATTAAGAAAGAAAAAAAAAAGCTGCTCCTAACACTTGGAAATTTGAAAAGAAAAGAAATAGAAACAAAAAGAATGAAAGTCTTGGGCTGAAACCCGTACCGGGTCGAAGAAGTGGGCCTCAGAAGTGCCCGTGGTCCTAGGCACTCGCTGTGACGGACACGGTTGCCCGTGGAGCCTGTGGGAACAGCCAGAGCGGTGCTCAGAAGGGGACCCAATGTGAATAGTTACCTTACTGAACGAAGCGCATGCCCTTGCACAGGTTAGACAACCGGGCTCAGAAGCTCAAGAAAGGAAAACAAAACGAACCAATGGACGAGAGGGCAGGAACTGGTAAAGATGAGAAGTTGACGAGAAAGTGAGAAATGGTAGAAATAATAAATAAACAAATGCCTAGGCTGTGAAAGAAAACCAGTAAAATGTGGGTTTTTCAGTCGTGGTCAAAAACTCATAGAAAGCACCGCCACGCAAAACGAGCAGTGAGCGGGACCACTGGGGTGCCACCGGGCGGGGTGCTGGGTGCCCGGCTCTGCCCGGTGTGCGTGGCTCCGTGAGCCTCTGGGTGACGCTGTGTCCCGCTCCCTCGACAGTGGAGAAAACAAAAGGCAGGCAAAAATAATGAATCTAAAGAGAATGATGGATTCCACAGGAATTCTGTAAAGGGACTTATGAATTATAATGATTTCCCAGGGAAGTAAAATCTAGCACTGCTCCAGAAGAGAGAGGTTTTAACCAGAAGGGTCATTACAAAGTTGTCACAAAGTAACCGCCCCTGCCCTCCTCCAACCAGAAGCAGTGGAACAGAACGCAAATCAGGCTGAGTCATTTTCACGGAAAATCCCGGCTGGCTCTCAGCATGCAGACGCCGTCCACACTGCGACAGCGCCCGGGCGCATGAGAGGGGAACACTTTTGGGCGTGAGCATGACGTCAGTGGCAGCCCCTGCAAGGGCCCCTCCCGCTCCGCGTGCAAGTGCGCAGGCACACACGTGCACGGGCTGCGGCAATCCCGCCGGCAGCTCCGTGGCCACGGGTCAGGAAGAATGCGCAGGATGGCCGGGCACTGCTTTGGGTGGGCGCTGTCCTGCCTCCCCAGCTCAGTCTCCCTTCTGGGAAGGCCCTGGCCCAGACTCCCTGCTTCATACCCACCCCCACACCTGGGGCCCTGGGTGGGCACCTGCTCCCTGCTCTCTCCTGAGCCCCGACCACAGCACCACCGGGTATGTCAGGAGGTTCGAGTCCGTGCTCTCCCGCACACATTCTGCGTGCAGCTTGCCATTCTGTGGTGGAACTTGATGTAGCAAGTAAAATGCCACGACTGATAGAGCCGATCAAAGTGTGGGGGCGTTTAGAGTGCTCTTCCCGCCCCCGGGCCCGTCCTCAGGTGCCAAGGCAACCCCAGTGCACCTCGAAATGGCCTGTCTGTGTCCTGGGGCCAGTGCTTGACAAGAGAAGGCAGCTGTGTTTGCCCAGCTCGACGCCAGGAAGGCCTGGCAGCTTTGGCATCTCCCTGCATGGGTGGGCACCTCTGGATTTCCAGGGCTGGCCAGGGAGGGTTCCTGGGGGCCCATGGGGCAGGGCTGCACTGCACTGCAAGCTGACCCTGTGCTGTTCCCTCGCAGCTGGAGATGGAGCTGAAGGTGCTTCGGTCCCAGCCGGGTCCCGCCGCCCAGAGTGCCCTGCTGTCCAGGGAGGAGGCCAGCGAGCTCAGGTGCGTCCCTGCCCACCCCACCCCTCTCCACCTTCTGGGCCTCTTTCTTCTTTAGTCCCACCTGCACTTCGCTTCCTCTCTGCACAGAAACTGGTCCCCACTGGTCTGGGACTCTTCTCCACGTCCTTTCTCAGGCTGGCATCGACAGCGAGGTCTCTCAGTGTCCCCAGGGCGCAGGAGAGAGCAGAAACTGCTCTTCCACAGTCAACTGCGGGGTCCCTCTGCCATGCAAGCCGTGCTCAGGGGCAGCAAGGCCTGTGCGCCCGTCTGAGGCCCACTGCAGGGGAGACTCACTCGGAGCAGCAGCCTGACCAGACTCGCACCCCTGAGTGCTCACTGACCTGCTGCCGTCTGCCTGGCAGTGGAGCGCTGTCCCGGCCCCCCTGCCTCTCTCCAGCCCACAGCCTTGGAGGCCGGGGGTGGAGGTCGTTAGCCGTCCTGTCCCACAGCTCATTCTTAAGTATAGTTTTTGGGGACAGAGGCAGGTGCTGAAGGCCTGTTACTGGCTTTCCCTGCATTCTGAGTTGTCACTAGAAAGGGTTCCATGGGTAGTTGGTACCATCCCCCCAGAATCCCCGAGTGCAGCTGCTCCAGCCACTCAAGGGGGCCCGCCTGGGACCTGCTACACAGATGGAGACCCCGGTCCCAGGAGAGACGATGTGGAATGGAGGGTGGGGGCGCTGGCTGGCCCATGGCTGAGTGGCTGGGGCTGCACCACCCTCTCCTGAGGCTGTGCTCTCATCACCAGAGACCCCTGAGTGCCGTGTGTCCTGGTGCATGGTGAGCTCTAGTAGGTGCAGTCCTGACCACCTCTGCTCTCGGCCCCGCCCCCTTCCCTGAGCACAGCGTCGGGGTGGGCCTGGGCCACAGAGACAGCTCTCTGGGGTCCCTTCTGCTTCCGCCACTTCTTGCCTGTTTCTTGCTGGTTCAGCCGGTGTCTTGCTGAGAGCCTGCGTGTGGGGTGCATGTCCCCAGGGCCAAGCGTGGGGATGAGATGACACAGGCACGATGCGTTTGCTCTGTGTCACCAACCCAGTGGTGGTCGAGAGGGGACTTGGAGGGACCCTGTTCACACACCCAGGCCTTGGGATGTGCAGGGCATCTGCAGGCTCCGCCCCTGTGTGGGGGGTGGGGGTGGTGCGTGAGGGCCTGAGGGGCAGGAAAGGGCAGCCGAGTACAGGCGGGCCCAGTGCTGGGAGCTGGGAACAGCGTCCCCATGTCAGAGCAGGAAGGGCAGGGCCGAGTGTGGAGGATGGGAAGCAGCCTGTTGCCCGGGGTGGGCGTGGATGAGAGAGAGGCTTGGCGAATTGGCTGTTCCTCCTGTGCCCAGGCTTCAGGGAGCAGCCCCAGGTGAGCAGTGCAGACAGCTCTCACTAACCGGGTAGGCCTGAAGGTGTCAGAGGTCAGGCACCGGAGCAAGTTCTGTGTACGGGGCTGAAGGGCAGCAGCGGGGGCCTCCAGGCACTGCCCAGGCTGGGATGCAGACAAGCTTCCCTGGGGGCATGATGAAGTGCTGGGCACAGGACAGCCTCACTGGGACCTAATTCTGAAGGATCGAGAGCACCCTGAGAGGCACATGGACACTGCTCTCTAGTCCCTGGGATGGCCATTGTTAAGTGCTGGGCGGTACAGAGGCAGGGCAGGTGGGGTTGGGGCTGCTGGGCTGCTGGGCTGCGTCCTCCCCAGGCCAGTGTGTCGGGCGTGGCTCCCAGCCTCCCTCCCAAGCAGCAGCCAAGGAGCCCCACCCTTGGCCCCGCCCACTGTCCTCCACCAGGAGCATGGCCAAATGTGTGTCCATCTTGTGTGGGCTGCCACGCCTTGGATTGAGCTATTTGTGCTTACTTTGTAAATGCCGAGACAAGGGTTTGGTCGGCAACATCTTTACATCAAGATCAAAGCCGCTTGTCCCACGGGGGGCCGGGGGGTGGTGGGACGGACACCCTGGTGGAGGGAGGATCAGCAGCTGATGTGGAGGAATCAGGTCGGCGTTTGTGTGCACACTTTGCCCAGAGAGGCTGCACGTCGCACCCCTCTCCAACTGTCCTTGGGGGCTGGAGCAGGGCCCCACTGCGCATGCCTGCTGCCTGTTGGGGTAGCTAGCTGAGGACAGGCTGTTGGAGAGACTCACTGGTCAGGCAGGCTCTGGGGGCCTCAGCACAGTGACAGGGCCGCAGACCAGGTGTGCAGGGTGTGCAGGTGGCCCTTCCTTCCCAGCCAGGGCTCACCCCCTGCACCCCTCGCAGGTCTCCATGTCTGTTGCATCCACAAAACTGCCCAGTGCCCGGTGCTCCCAGTGCCCTGTCACCAAGCACCCTGCTCCCCCTGGCCAGGCCCAGCTCCCACTTGACTGTGCTGCCTGCCTCGGGCATGTCTGGGAAGAACCAGGGGGTCCTTGTTTCCGCAGGGTGATGGGCAGTTGCTGGGAGCCCGAGGGCTTGGCCCAGAGGGCGCTGGCCAGCTGTGCGCTCCTGGCCCACACTGGTATCCAGGTGGGACCAGGAGTCCCCTCAGCTGCATGCTTACCCCACCAGCAGCTTCATAAGGATCACATTGAGCAGAGCCCTGACAGCCCACTGATGGGGCACCAGGCCTGGGCCCCATGGGGGCAGCTGCTCGTCCCTCCAGAGGGCCTGGGCTCTGCCACTCCAGTGGCCAGTCTCCACACTCCTTGCGCTGACTGCGCAGTGGGGCTGGGAAGCCCTCGGGCCTGGGAGGACCTGGCAGCCCGGGCCCCTGGCCGGTGTCTGGTCTCCTCTCTGAGGCCTGAAGGGCCTTCTCCAGCCCCCAGCGCTCCAGCATGTCCCAGAGCCCTGCTGTGGCCAGTCCGTGTGCGGACGTGCCAGGGTGGGGGGGCCTCTCTGTACAGTAGCTCACCCTTCAGTTCTTGAGGTTTTTCTTGAGTTATTCATTAATGGTCTTTTCCATATTCTCTGTTCTTAAGCCATTGTTTGGGTGTTGAGCTTCCTGAATTATTCTGTGTTAAAAACATTTTTATCCTGTTTTCCCTCTGTTCTTCCTACTTGCTGCTACTTGCTGTAGCATTTTCTTGAATTTGTCAACCTCATTCGCCTTCTGCTGTCGTGTGTGTCCTGGGACTTGCCGCTGTCGGCTGCTGTCCTCTGAAGGCTCTTCCACCCATGAGACGCTGCTGGACGGTTTAAGGACACAGCGCGTCACTGTCACTGGCTCTTTGATGGGATGACGGGGCTCTCTGAGGGGCTCTTCTCTCCGAGTAGAGCGTTTCTCGTGGAGGCTCAGACACCACCTCCCCTCCCAGACCCCTCGAGCGTGGGGCCGTCCTGGACATCCGCCCACCTTACACTGGCACCCTGGGAGCCACTCGGAGCAGCCCCAGGTGGGCTCTGTGCTCAGCTGGCCGTGGCTGGGCCGTCACGGGGTCCTGGTGACTGGCCTTTCTCAGGGCTGGTCACGCGTTTGGTGCTGCCAGCCCCTGGGAACACAGCAGCACCACGGAAAGGTCCCAGGACCCCCTCCTCCCTGGGTAACTCTGCCCTTTACCTGGGGTCCCTCAGCCTAGGGACCTGCTGTTTCCATCCCCAGAAGGAAAACATCTGGTGTGTGGAGGGCTGGTATTCAAAAAGATCTTCAACTTCTGGTCCTGGCCTGAGGGATCGGCTCCATCCCCGCCCAGGACTCCAAGCTCTGACCTGGCCCAGCAGTGGGGGGACCCTGGAAGGTGGGGAGAGGATGGCCTGCGCGGGACCCCGAGCTGGAGGAAGGCCTGATGGCAGGCACTCCACGTTGCTTCCTTAGTGCTGCCCATGGGCCTGGGGACCAGGCGACAGAGACTGCTGCCGGGACAGGCCCCAGTGGGCACACACAGCTTCAAGAAAAGCCCACCCCCTCACCCTGCCTTCAGTCATGGGCCGTAGCCCTTGGTGGTGTCCATGGGTCAGCAGGGACCACTGTCCATCCCAGCCCTCCAAGCAGGTGTGCTGGCAGGACCTGCCCTGAGTTTCCTGCCGCCCCCAACTCAGTGGCACCGAAGGTCCAAAGCAAAGTGGGGCTTGCTGCCCAGGGTCACAGGCTCAGCAGAAGCTCTCGTTCCCCATGCCCACCCACGTAGCAGTGAAGCGCCCTCACTTCCAGTCCCCAGTGTCAGTGGCACCATGGGGAGTCCAGTTGGCACCTCTCTGCCTGTGGGGCCCCGGTACAAGTCCCCCGGAAATAGGTGGCCTCCTGCCAAAAGGTCTGTGGGGTGCAGACTTCGCAGCATAAGGCCCTGAGTGTCCAGGGTGCAGTGGAAGTCTCTGCTCGCGCCCGGAGCCTGCCAGTTGTTGCTGAAGGAGGAGAGGCCACAGACGGTCACGTCGCCTGTCTAGGGCATGAGTGCAGACGTCACAGAACCATGTTGCCGGCAGGGCTGAGCCTGGCGGTCAGTGAGGCAGGAGTGGTGACCCTCGGCAGAAAGCGAGGGAGGACTTCTTGAGAGGACCAGACCTGCACTGTGGGCCTGGGCAGCACGACAAGTGGAAGGAGGGGTCACTGGCTGCTCCAGCAGCAGGTGGAGGGAAGAAGCACATGGGCCCGTAGAGAGCAGCTGATGGAAGGACAGACAGCCAGGGACAGGCCCGGAGTGGAGCCTCGGCCCCTGGCCCAGCAGCGGCACACAGAACAGTCATCTGAGTGGGGCCCTGGGAGGGAGGGGCACCGGGGCTGGGGGATTTTCTGAAGACCCAGTGACTGGAAATGGGTCATTATACCCCGAGTCCGTGACAGGTATAAACCCACAGAGTGGAAAACCGAAGAGGCTCACACTGTGACACCCGCTAATTAATCTTCTGGAAGTTGCATGCACCGAGGGGAAACCACGAAGGGAGCGAGGGAGGAGCGCCTTTTATCTGCAGGGAGTGCCGCTCTGAGTGGCAGCGAGCCTCTCATCTGAAGCGGCAGAGCTGGCGTGGAGCAGGAGGCGTCTTTCAGGTTCCGCAAGGAGAGGCCTGTCAGTGGGGAATGTGTCTTCAGCCCTGAAGGGATGCCGGGCGGTTGTCAAAGTGAAAGCCAATGCACGTGCCGCTGCCAGGCCTGCCAGGGGCGTGAGACCGCCATGCTGGGGCGGGGGGGAGGGGGTCACTAAGGGCTCAGTGCAGAGGAAGCACAAGTGCCAGCTCTCAGTTCACAGCAGAGTGTGTTCACCGCACGCTGGCTCACTTGCCGGAGGACGCCTGTGCTCTCAACTGGGCGGGAGCTACTGCAGCTGCCCACTGGGTGCCTCGTGCCTCGTGTGCACACTGGGCGTGACCCGGGTTGACCTGGTGGGGGGCCTGGGTGCCTCCGTGTCTGTGCTGGTCTGCTCTGGGAGCCTTGTGGCCAGCGCCATCACCCTCTCCACACTGCCGTCGCTGCCTAGGGCCCCCGTGTTTGCTGTTTGAGGAGGTGGTTGCCGTGTCTGTGCTGGAAGCAGCAAGGGCTTTCTGACAGAGGGGCGGGGACACCAACAGTGACAGGGTGGCAGTGGCCAGGGCCTCTCTGGGGGAGGCCAGCAGGGCAGGGTGTGGGTCTGGGGCCAGTGGGCAGTCGGCTTGGACAGTGACGTTCCGGGCCGCAGGCTCCTTTCCATCTGTACCTCCAGTGCCCTGGCTGTCCTCTGCAGGCTGCTTCGAGGCCTCCCGCCAGTGCCTGTCTCGGCACCTTTGGGTGGCCAACGAGGTGGTCAGCCTTCTCCGTTCTCTAGGGTGTTCTCCATGCTTCAGGCAAGGCAACAACCGTGCGCATCTGACTGGTTTCACACACACACACACGCTCACACACGACGCACACACTTGCTCTCCTTATGTCATTCTCCGTCCCTTGCCAGGTAATGGTTTGCCAGAAAAGGAGGGCGAGGAGGAGTCCCCGTGTTAAATGCGCAAACGAGAGTGGTGCATGTGGGTTTGTTCTCCAACAGCCAGGGTGGATCACACCGTCTTAGGCGTCTGCAGCGGCATGCAGACACTTGTTTGGGTGTAGCCCTGGAGGACAGTTGGCTGACGAGCTGTTGGAATGGAAACGCTCTGGTTTCATAGGACCTGCGGGCTTCCCACCCAGCCTGGCCCCCGCACTCACAGGACACCTGTGCCTGGCTGCCCGGCCCGTGAGGGGGGTTCTCCGGACCCTGGAGGCCAAGGGGAGCTCTCGTCCTGGGCAGGGTGTGGCCACACGTCTCACGTGGCTCCCACCTGCCCGCCTTCTCCCTGTCGGGGCTGCTCCATCTGACAGATGCCGTTGGCCGCGCTCCCCAGGCCTCTGCTCAGGTGCTTCTGCAGTTTAAAAACGTTCCCCGTCGGCCTCCTGGTTCCTCGTGTGTGTGTTTGGGAACAGAGCCCAAGGCCTTGTTGTGTGGCCTTGCCCCTCCTCACCCAGAGGACAGGGCTGCCCCCTCAGCTGCAGCCATCTTCTCATGGTCTGCCCTGCCTGCAGGTTGAAGGTCGAGGAGCTGGAAGGGGAGCGGAGCCGCCTGGAGGAGAGCAGGAAGCAGCTGGAGACGCAGCTCGAGCGGCTCACCCTACTGGTGAGTGCGGGCGCGTCGCCGCCCTCCCAGCTTCCCGCTGCGCTCGCAGGGCTGTGCCTTCCGTGCCCACAGCCAGGGACCCGCACCCACACTTGTCCCCCTCGCTGGCCTCCCAGGAGCATGTCCCGAGTCCCACAGGGAGGACGCGCTTCCCCCAGCCCCGGAGCCGCAGCCTGTGCGTGCGGCCCTGCTGCGGGCTGTGTGCTCGTGGGGCTTGTGTCCACACCCCTCCCCCGCGTCCAGGGCCGTGGCCTCGGACTGCTGCTGACACTATTTAATTTTTCTTTGTTTTTCGTTTTCATCCTCCTGTCTAAGTTGGTCTATGGCAGGAAGCCTGCAGGTTTGCGATCACCCGGATTTTGGACAGGCCATTGATTTTATCTTGACACCCATTAGGGGTAAATCAAATCTCGTTTTTATTACCAATTCCTGGAGATGGTAGAAGTGACAACTTTGATAAAGCAAGGCTCAGTGAGCCGCGGCCAGGCTGCATTCTGTGCTGGGACCTGTCATCTCACACCGTTTAATTGGGCCGAAGTCCTCAGCCCAGAGAGCGGGGCTGTTGGCAGGTGAATCCCCGACCGCCCGCCTGCCGGCCGCCCATCAGCAGTGCCGTGTCAGACGAGCTTGGTGATGTTTTCTTGGCTCTTTAGTGCAGAGCAGCCTAGGACTGCGGCTGACAGCCTCCCAGGCCTCCCGCGACACCGAGTCAGTGAGTGCAGCTGAAATCACTGTTCTTCCTGCTGCAGCACCAGGGTGCCCACCGGCACCCGGCCCAGACCCAGGAGCACAGCCAGTTGGCCTGGTCGTGGCAGACAGGACAGGGAGAGCTCGCATCCTGCTTGGGGAGTCTGGCAGGTGGTGCACAGGCTCACCAGCAAGGGGCTCATGGGGGTGGGGTTCCGTGGGGTCTGGCACCGGGACCACAGATGTCAGCTGGAACCCAGTGCTGCCCCTTGGCTGGGTGGTCTCGGGCACACCGCGGCTCTGCCCTCTGAGTCCCCAGTGAGTCCTTCATAAAACTGGGGCGGTGGTTTCCACACGGGGCTATGGGGGAGACGGGCCGCATCTGCCTGCCGCAGCTGGCACATGATGGCCATTCGGTAAATGGTGATGTCTGTCTGTTGCTGCCCTGGCTTTTCCATCATGAGGATGGAGACCTCATCTGCTTCTTCTCTGTGCCTGAGCCTTGGAAGCAGCAGGGCAGCTCACGATGCCCTCCAGGTGGTCTGGCCACAGTTCCCTATGGTGGGGGGAGCCCCTGGCTCCCTCTGTGCTGGCCTCTGAGTGCAGCTCAGCCATGCCCGTGGCCGTGAACCAGCGCGGAGAAGTGGTGGAGGGCCGTAGCGTTCAGCTCGCCAGCCAGGCACGTGTCAGCCATGGTGCTGGAGCTGGCTCAGTGGGCACCCGCCCCTACCCCCCGCCCCGGAGGAGTCTTCAAGTTGTGCTGCTTCAAGGAAGAGTGATGAAAATCAGCTGCGGTTCGACATAATTGGGAACATATGCTTGCAGAGGACGCTCACTAGTCAGAACCTCGTGTTGTTGGTTCCCCGCTGAGGGGGGGAGGCACCAGAGCTGGTTGCGCTCAGGCAGTGCCTGCTGCATTCAGTGGGGCCTCGTCCCCCTGCTCCCCCCCCAGGTGTGGCCTGTGTGGGCCTCTCCAGGGGCCCTGCTGCTGCTGCTGCTCCATCTGGGGTGGCCCCTGACCACACCTTGAGTGGCTGGAGGAGGCAGGACCCCCCCCAGCAGCCGTGGGGAAGACAGCTCGCAGGCCCCCTCTGGAGGGGGTGCAGCAGGCCCCCATTAGCTGACCACGAGCAGCTCACTCAGACACAGCTTCTCAGAGGCAGAGTGGGACTTGCACATGCTCTCAAAGGAAGACAACCCAAGCACCCCTGGGGCTGGGGCCAGTACAGGGCCTCGCGGTCTCAACATTCCCCAGCAGTTGGGCCGTGCGAGTGCCAGCCGTGCCACGTCCTGGGTGCCGGTGGTGGAGCCCACCGCCTGTCCCACAGCGCCGTGGGAGGTATCGGAAACCCCAGCAGCCGGGACAGCTCACCTGAACCGCCTGTTCCCACCTGGCCACTTTGCCAGGGTTGCTGTGGGACACCCTCAGCTTCAGCACCCACCCTGTCCTTCCGAGTGTCGGATGCGTTTTAAAGCAAATTGCAAACATCTGCACCTTCCCTGAAATGCTCTGGCACGCATGTGATTGAGCATAATTCATCGCTGGCGTTGGCGCCCACGCCTGCTGTCCTCGGCGCTACCCAGGCCTGCTGCTCGCGCAAGCAGGTGGGCGCCCCGCCTGGCCACCACCCCTTGGAGGCCCTGCTGCCCCAGCTAGCCTGCAGTGCACTCAGGAAGAGACCAGACTGCAGCCCAGTGACGTTTTAAACCAGTGTAGCTGTTTTGGAAACGGAGTGGGTGGAAAATTGTCGGATTCCCTGTGAGCAGAAGGTTCACGGTGCCCGGGGAGACTGTCCCGTCCCTGCGTCACCAGGCAGGCGGCACTGGGCGATCACAGGCTCCTGGGGCTCTGCCTCCTTCCCTCTCCTGAGTGCGGGGGAGCGGCACTCCGCCGCTCCTCTCACCTCAGTGCCCTCTCCCTATCAGTGCTGTGACGACCTCCAGCCCCCACCGGTCCCTGTCACCCAGCCCAGTGCCCCCAGAGACAAACTCGTCCATGCTTAGATACCACTTCCCTCCCTGACCCACCTGTCCTCACCAGCCTAGAGCCCTGAGCCCACAGCTGGCCTCCCCTCTGCTTTGCAGGGGCCCGTGGGGCTCTGCCTGCTCCCCATGAGGCCTGCAGCTGCTGACCAGGCCCTCGTGCGTGTCCTGTCCCCTACGGGGCAGGCAGTTTCTAAATGATCTACTGTCTGCACCTCCGGGTGCTGGTTCTGGAGGGACAGAGCCTGCAGGCCACGGTGCGAGGCACCGCTGGGGTGTGGGGCAGGCTCCCTTGGGTGAGGAAGGCTCCAGCCCCCCAGGGTCCGCTGTAGCTCTGAGGGTGTCTCTTTGTGAGCAGGGCTGCTCAGCTGACTGTGTCCCCGGCTATACCATGGCCAGAGGTGCTGGCCACTGCCGCAGATCCCCTCGAGGCACCATGGGCCGGCTCGTTGTCTGTGTGCACTGAGCGCCGTGCAGGCATGGCCCTGCTGGGCACCTTCACAGACAGCTCACGGGCGCTGATACGGGGCGCTGTCATCCCCTCTGCCCATGAAGCAGCCCAGGGGCGCAGAAACCAGTGATTGGTAGGTGACACCTTCATGTCCCCAACTCACTGCCCCCAGCTGGGCCTCCGTCTTCCCCAGCAGAGGTCCAGGCCCATGGTGCCCTTTGATTCCATGTCTGCCCTGAATGTCTGGGGCATCTGGGTGAGCCCTGCAGACCAGGCTACTGCCCCCACCTCCGCCTCCCCCTGCCACCATCAGGGAGGACCCAGATCTGGATGGGGCGAGACCAAGCACTGCCCGAGTGCCCCAGTCGTGGCCCACACCCCACATGGCCCAGCTCCCAGAGCCAATGGGGGGGGTCTGCCAGGGCACCTAGACTGCAGCAGCCGCAGGCCTGGCCCCACCAGTGATCTCGGTGTGCACTGGCATGGGTGCACACGGGCACCAGCCACGGGCAGTCTGCGCACGGTGCTCTGGGGGAAGTGCGTCTGGGCGTGTTTCCACCTCGCTCAGACACTCAGCCCGCATCCCAGCTCCCCTTGCCAAGTGAGGGGCCCTGATCACGCCTAGGCTGGGTGGGGACTTGCAGGCCGTGTGCAGAAAACATGCTGTGCACGTGCTTGCAGAGATGCGTCCCCAGACTGGCCGCTGCTTCTCCTATTCTGACATGTCCTTGCTGCCCACCCTCCGGAACTCCCCGGGAACCCCGTTGGCAAACCCTTCTGTACCTCATCTTTGTCACACAGTGCATCAGGCACACTTCTCTGTCAGTCCATGCAGGCCCATGGCTGTGCCCTTGCCTGTGTAGCTAGCTGCCACCCACAGGGGGCAGCCGTGTCCTCCCGTGACCACACAGGACCAGGAGGGTGTCCCCAGTGCCTATGTTCCCGGGTAGGAGTTTGCGTGGGGAGATTTCCAGGGACAGTGGGCTCGTGGGGCCCCAGCAGGCTCTGGGGAGATACTGCCCAGTGCCCCCAGGACAGTGCTGCTCCAGTGAGCCCCGAGCGCGCCCTGCTCCCACCACCTCGCCGGGTGCTGCTGGTCCCGTGTGCTCCAGGGCAGTCCAGGGCGCTTGTCTGCTCAGCCCTCTGTTGCACATGTGACCAGGGGTGTTTTGGTGAGTGTGTGTGTTCATGTCCTTGGTCCGCTCTCCAAACAGATGGGGGGGGGTCCTCTTGTTGATTTCTTGGAGCTCTTTGTATATTAAATGAGTTGGGCTCATTTTCTTGTAAGGTGTGAATATATTTTCGCAATTTGTCATTTGTCTTTGGACTTTGATGTGTCTTTTGCCAAAGGAGAGGTATTTGTTTTTTCAGTGTTCCCGCAGCTTTTTTGGTGGGGATGGGGCTTCCGGGCTTTAGATCCTGTTCTCACCTTCCGGGGTCAAGGTGTGGAGCAGCCTCTCTGGCCTTCTCCTGGCTGTGGGGCAGCTCCCACCTCACACTGCAGCCTGTGGCTTTGATGTGCACAGAGGAAGCCTGGCCTCGTCTGTTTCTGAAGAGGTGGTCCTGGTTGCCCAGACCATCCCTGGAAGCTGGTCTTTTCCTCGCAGGCTCTCAGCGCCCACCCCACGCCTGCATCCCTGCACGGGGTCCTGTGTGCCGTGTCTGTCCCTGCATCTTCCCCATCCTCGGTTGCCTCCTGTCATGGTGGCTCTCACCGAGGCCTTCGCTGTCCCAGGCTCGTTGGGTCCACGTGCCCCAGACTCTTTGCTCCAGCGCTTTCCCGGCAGCTCTTGTTTGTTTGTACAGGGACTTAAGGGCCAGCGCACCTCGTCCCCGCGGCAGTTTTGCATTCACGAGATTCTGTGGCATGTGAAGACAG